AGCCCCGGAGAGGACGCTCAGTGCACGGGAATTGCGTTAAATGCGACATTTATTTCAGAACCGAACAAGCCTCACGTGCGCACGGACGGCCAAGACCCGCAGTACTGCCCCCCCTGGCACACGGCAGGGAGCGCCGGCGGGAACCGGCGAGCGGGGAGTGCGGCTTCTCTCTTCCTCCCGCCTACCCGCCGATGCCTGCCTGCCTTCCGTGCCACCCGCTGCCGTGTGGAATTTCCCTTCCCGTTGGGCTTGTAGTCGTGCTGGAACCTCCGGTTTGCATTCCTTGCCGAGGGGATGCGTGGCAGGGCCATGAGGAGCAGCGCGGTGCCGGTCAGAACGCTGCCGGCGGGGTGACAAGCGGTCCGTGTGCCGCACCCAGCGGGCAGCTCTGTTTCCCTCGTCTCCGACCTCCAGCCGAGCCGTCTGCTCTGCAGGTTTGCTGACCTCAGGCAGGGTTCGGCTCTGGCTGGAGGATGCCCTTCAGCTGGCTGCGTCTTGTCTGTGGCACAGGCAGCACCATACAGCCCTGGCCAGTGGACCTGTGTCTGGTCCCTGACAGACACTGGTCCCGTCTCTGCCAGAAGCTGCCTCCGTTCTGGAGGAGCCTCCCCTTAGGTACCCCTGTTTCTCCACCCTTAGCCCCTTACACTGAAATTTGGGGTGGTACCAACTAGTCCTTGCTCAGAGCACGGGAGCCAGGATGTTGCAGCCTGGAACCCTGCATTGCCCCAGCTCAGCCTCTCTGTGCCTCCAGGCTGGCATCTCTTCATACAGAAAGGGCACAAGCTGGCCTCCAGGTCTAAAAACGATCACAGAGAGGAAAATAGCCCAGTTTGCTGGGGAGCTTGTCCTGGGCAGGGGAGGTGGGCTGAGAGGAGCAGCCCCACTGGAGATTTGGGCTGTAGTAATGGGGTAAGATGCCCAAGGAGCTGTGGTGAGGCCAGGCAGAACCAGCATGTGCTCAAGAAGAATCCCCAAATTCTTTCTGTCACCTGAAACCCAAGCTAGAGGGTGCCTGATGTGCAGCAAGGGGGCCAGTGCAAACCTCTACTCCTCTGCCATGTCCCTGCCTATCTGTGCCCCCCACAACACGAATATAATGAGAAGACAGCACCACATCCCACACACACACACACACACACACACACACACACCCCACAGACAGTGCAGGGAGGTGTGACAGAGCCAAGGCGCAGCTGTGCTGGACAAGAGACAGCAGAGCTGGGGGGTGCCTGGGAGATGCACGGAGGAAGATGCTCAGCTTCCAACACAGAGCTGTGCCAGATGCTGCTGGCCACTTGGGAAGCCCTGAACAAAAACATCTAACCATGGGTGAGAAATGGGAGAAGAGAGAGAGCTGCTGCTGGAGGAGGTGGGAAGCAGTGGTGGCTGGAGGTCTTTTCAGCAAAAACACCTCTGATGAGAGAAGCCCCCAGATAAACATGCTGATGGAGTCAGAGTGGGGAAGAGGTGGGTGCTTGTTTCTGCAGCAGAGGAAGAGTGAGAAAACACCAGCTAGAACAGAAAAAAGAAGCCCCATCCCCACCCTGACACCATTTGATCTGCTTTGAGTCTGTCATCCTGCTAGGAGCAGAAGAGATGTGCAAGCCCTTTTGGGAAAGGACAAGAAAGATCCTGTAGGGTGGGATGGCCATTCCTAGTCATGGCTCCTGCAGAATTTTCCCATTCCAACTGAACCTCCACACTCCCTGCAGGGTTGGGATCCTTGGCATCCTGGCCTAAGAGTGGGAAATCCCTCGGATGTGACACCTGGGGGTCTCAGGCTGGAACAGTGGAGGTGGCCCAAGTGCTCTTGGTTGGAAAGGGTAGCCCAGCATGGTGTGACAGACAGAGCCATAGCCAGAGCTCTCCATTTCCCTCCAGTAGGACCAAGCTCCAAAGTGCAGTGACCCATCTGCAGGGACATGGGTGCCCTGGCCAGTTGAAACTGTGGGCTCTTCCCTTCCAGAGGTAGATGGGACAGGTAGAAATTGCCTTCTTTGGGAAGACATGGTGGGGGCTGTCTGGCCGCTGCTCAGGTGAAAAGTAGTTTTAAGCTGCAGGGGATGGCAAAGCAAATAGTTGGGGAAGGGCGTAGAGTGAGGGTGAGAGCTGCGCTGCTGCCAGGCACAAGCCAGGGGAAGGCATCTCCGGAACCTCAGCCCACCAGCAAGGCTCTCCCCTGCCTGGGGGAGGCATTGGCTGAGGGCCAGGACTCAACTTACGGTATTTTTGTGATGTAAATAGAAATAAATATTTTATAAATATAATCTTAAAGTACTGACACCTGATCTTACTCTGCTGTCTCTTGCAGAAACACCAGTAAATTAGGGAAACCCCACATATAAATTACCACTTTCCCTTCACCTGAGGGCAATTCCTCCTGCTCTCCCAGCTCTGAGCTTGCCCTGCATTCCCATCTCTCTAGATCAAAGACCAGCTTTTAGACAAAACCACCCTTCTCACTCCCTCCTTCTGATAGGGACCTTTTTTGGAGTGTTAGATGGTGTGATATGAAGGTCACCCATGGAGGGACAGGCAGAAGATGGCACGTGCACAGGGACCCTGCCCAGACAGGTCCAGGCTTTTGCAGCTACAAACAGAAGTGAGTTTCCCCCGTGAAGCTGTGAATCAAGACAGGTCCTTCCATGGAGCAGAGAGCTGGGGCAGCAGATGGTGTGAAAGATCAGATATTAACATGGGGAGTCTTCAGACAGAATCAGCTATCTTGATCCTGTTAGCAGACGGATGAAGTGGAGGGTGTTTTTCAGGTTAGATTCTCATCTGGGCTGCTCTCCTTCTGGACAGCTTGGATCTGATTTGGAAAACAAGGGACAAAAGGTGTTAAGAGATGTGGACAGGGAGAAGTCTGGACTCCCAGTGTCCTACCTCCAGGCTGATACTTGAATCTAGACAGCTGGAGGGACATAGAATTAAAGCCTCTTTAGCCAGAGCACACAGATTTCTGTACATTTATTCCTATTCCCCTAGTCCTGCCACTTGTGGTGATCTCAAAAAGTCCATGAGATTGTCTTGTTGAGGAATGAAAACATTCAGTACAGTAGCTTGGTGCGCAGCTTCGATTTGAGCTGCAGGGGTGGGAGCCTGAGGCAAGAGTCTGTGAACTGCTGATCGTTTGCATAAAAAAGGGCACAGAGACCTGCGGCAAAGCCAGCTGAAGGACACTGTGAGTCCTTCACAGTGACAGGGACAGGAAGAGTCCCCTTAGACTAAGAGGGTATAAAAGCCCAGGGTTTCCTTTGTTCAGGGTCCTTTCCCAGAGGCACCCAGCTCCAGATGTTATTTTGTTATTGCACCGTGATTAAATTATTTTAAGGCTCGAGATGTCAGAGTCTCCGCTATGGGAAACCTGTGACTGAGCCAGTCAGGATACCTTGCCCTGAGCGTGTGTGGTGAGTGTAGAAAGTCAAGCAAGGCCCCTGTCAGCTCACTGGAGCCACCTGCTGTGAAGGGGCCTCAGTCCCAGCTTAGGTGGTGCCTGTGTGACTCCCAGAGTGGCTCCTGGATGGTTGGACAGGAAAGTTTCCTTAACTTAAGTCCCAAAAACTCAGTGGGATGGTCTCAAGAACAGTGACAGGCCAGTGGCCCTGCCACCACACATGAATGTTGCTTTGAGCTCAGAACAACACCTCTGTACCACCTGGAATTTGGCCCTAGACTGAAGCACTTAAATGTGGGCGAGCTGAATTCAAAATGAATATGGTCCAAGTTTTGTTAGCTGAAAGCCTGTCCAAGCACAACTCTCCACAGGAGATGCTCCCCACACCTGGATGGGGGCTGCAGCAGGGAAAGCACTGGGAGCCTGCAGCCCTCCAGCAATGGCTTCTCTGCATCCCCCTTCCTCCAGCTGCCCCTGGTACCTTATGGATCCAGCCAGGAGAGGGTTGAAAGCGTAGAGCCAGTCGTGCATGTCCTTGTCACTGCCTGCCTGCAGCAGGATGCCCCGGTGCTCCGTGCACACCGCAAATGTGTTCGGGGTCTGTGAGGGGAGAGCAAGAGCTTAGTCCTTCACTCAATGGGGCTGAGTGAGGAGTGGGGCTGGCTCCCAGTGCCCTACCTTGAGCATGGCCTGCTGGTCCTCACTGTACTCCACCTGGGCCTTGGAGAGGTTGAGTATGGCCCTCTCGACCGCATCCTTGTCTGAGTTGTAGATGTAGACATATGGACGCCGGACCACCACGAAGCGTTTCACCCATCCATTGGTGTGAGGCTCCAGGAAGTGCAGGTAGCCCTTTTTGGAGACGATGGGACTGCAGAATGGATCAAGGGGTGGAATACAGACCATGAGGAAGTGGCAATGATAGGGCATGTACTCCCTGCCCATAGGTGGCTGCCCCAGTTGCTCCTACCTGACTCGAATCTCCTGGATGTCGGGCACCAGCAACCGCTGGGGTTCCTTCTCCTCCTCAGGCCGGCGGGCTGGGGACTTCTTGTGCTCTCCTTCTACCACAGGTTCCAGATCGGGGCTCTCTGCCCTGGAGGAAACCTGGGGGGGTCTGGGGAAGGAGGAGAGGATGGAATGTAGGAAGAGTGATGGCTAGGGAACATCCATAGACAAGGACCATGTCCCAGTGATTCAGCTGCTCTGTTTGGCATATGTCACCAGAACCTCCCAGCCAGCTTCTTACCTGACCTCCATGGCGTTGTAACATCCTTCCACCAGTGACGGGCAGGTCGAGGAGGGGGTGAGAGTGGTGACCCCAAGAGCTGGCATGGAAGGGTCTCTCATCAAGGTCACGGACATTTCAGACAGCTGTGGAGTAATGGAGGTGTGAACTAGAGTTTCTGCACAAAGCCAGGCACATGCAAAGGAGCAGGCTCCTGCTCAGACAGGGAGATGCAAGACCCCTGGCTGGCAGGGTCCTCTCCTGGCATAGTTCTGAGAGCCACCAGTTCTGGGAAAAAACAGAGCAAGCAGAGGGAGCAGACACCCCAGAGGAGACATGACTTGTGCCATAGTGCCCATCTGGCCCCCACCCAGCCATTCCCCTGCCAGATGCACACCCCTCCTTGGCCCTACCAGCCCAGCAGAGCCTGGGGCAGCAGCAGTACCTTGCTCTCACTGGCGCTAATGCAGACGTGGCTGTGGCTGTACTCCCTGTTGAAGGTGTGCGTGAGCAGGCGCAAGCACTGCAGAGAGAAAAAGAGGACAGTGGAGCATGAGGCACATTCCACCTTCCACTCTTCTTGGGCTTTCTCCCCCCACCACCCTGAGCTGCCTTGTTGGAAGCCACTTCCTGGCTTCATCCCGGCAAGCTGGGTTTGCTGCAGGATGCTACCTTCACAGCCAGCTCCTTCTGCCTCTCGCTGGGGGTCTCAGGGGGAGAAGTACGGCCTTCAGGTGCCCCATCAGCAGAGAGTGGGGAGGAGATGCAGGAGTTGCTTCGGGACTCAGAATCTTCACTGGAACATGGGGACAGGGTCTCCATGCCCAAGCGCTGGGTCGTCTCCAGCTTCTCACGCAGCAACAGGTAGTGTCTTGTCTTCTCCACCTGAGCACAAGCACTCAGAATCAGGGGTGGCCCTTTCCCCCATACCCAGGCCCCCCTTAACCCCATTTACTCCTTAGCTTTGGATCTGCTGGGACCTGGCTAGCAGCAATACACAGGAGCACAGTCTCATTCCTGCCTCCTCCCACAACCGAGATGGCTGTGCCATCCAGGGTGGGGGATCTCCCCAGCACCAGTGGAGCTGTGAATTGCAATGTTTCAGCCCATTTCTAGCCCAGACTCTCACTTCTTGCAGAAGGCTGAGTTTCTCCAGCTCCCACTGATGGTCAAGGATAAGGCTGTCACTGCGGGGCCGCCAGCCAGCCAGGTTCTCCTCTCCCCGGACATAGGCTACAGAGGTGTCCAGAACACGCCGGCGCCTTCTCTGCATGCCTGTGGGCACGGACACACAGCTGGGGGGACAGACGCACAGCCCCTAACCCAAAGGCCTGGCTGTGCCTCCCTGCCCCAGCTGAATACCTGGGCAGAGGTGTGGCACCCACCTGGGCTGCCGGCATCAGCCACACGACAGAGGCTGAGCTCGTAGACTCCTGTCACGCGGTTGCTGGGAGCAAAGAGAGATGTGTTACTGGCTTTGTCCCATCCCCACTCCCCAGTTTTTTTAGCCAGGCTGCTGGGATGCCCTAGAAAAGCTCCAGTCCCTAGGTGATGGCTCTCCTGTCCCCAACAGGAGCGCCCTGGTACCTCTCAGAAGCCCGCAGACTGCCACTGCCAAAAAGATTGCGGATGGAGCGTGAGGCAGGAAGTTTGGCATCCCGGGAGTAGAAAACCATGCAGAAGTCTTTGGTGATGACGGCAGGTTGAGTGCAGTTCTCCATCTGCAGTAGGGCAGAGAGAGGCATCAGGAGTGCTGCAGGGTGGCAGCCCAGCAGGTCCCTCCCACCCCTGTGCCCAGATTCCAGTCCTGGGGTCCCATGTGGCCCCCAAGCACCAAGTTGAACCCTGCACCCCATAACCACGAGCTAAGGAAGGGCTCACACTGGCTGCACCCCAACAGCAGGGGAAATACCAGACTTTGCTGATGTATAGTGACCCCAACCAAGGTCCTTGCCTCAATGTAAGCTGACAGGGTGATGTAGATCTTCTCCCGGTAAGGAGTAACACGATTGAGCAGCAGCGAGTTGTGCATGGAGCTATCCCACGCTGCCTCAAACTGGTAGAAAGTCCTGCCAAAAAAAACCAGCAGGGCCAGTAAAACCATCTGGAACCCCTGGCAGGCGAGCAAGGAGATGTCATTGTCCCCCCCACAGCGCTGCAGCAGGCCTGCAAGGACACACAGACATGCATGCGCAGTGGGGACAGATGGGGACAGCCACTCCAGAGGGCACAGGCTCAAGGCAAAGGGCACAAGGCATGGTGGGAAGAGGACATGGCACCCTTGAAATGGCCAATGGACTGGGGTTTTGGGGACGAGGGACCACGGGAGGAGTGGGGGGCTTAGATGGGGTGCAGGCAAGGCAGAATAGGCTAGGAAGACAAAGGAGGGCGAAGGAGGGTTCATGCTCCACCCCTGTGTTCAGAGCAGGGGTTGCCACCCCCAGTGCACCTGGGCCAGTCCCCACCATCCAGCCTGGGGCACAGCACCTCCCAGTCCCTGCCAGGAGCAGCTGTCACCATTTGGGTGATGATGGCCAGAAGGGAAAGGAGGGAGGATGATCAGCACTAGGGGTGTGCTACCAGCCCACCGCTGGGAGCACAGCCCCCCCACCAGCCAGGTCCCCTTCCCCAGGGCTGCCCCTGTCTGCCATCCCTGGGCCCCAGTGAGAAGCTGGGGACCATGATATGGTGGCTGGCCCCTGTCAGGCTCCCTCCCCTGGCTCTTGCTCTACCCTCATTGCCAGCCCCATTCCCCCTCTGCTGCCTCAGGCCCCTTTGCTGTGTTTTCCATGGCTCCCAGGCTGGGAGAAGGAGCAGGGGACACCTGGTCCCACTCACCCATGCCTACAGGATCCTGGGGAGGATGGCACAGCTCACCCATATCAAGAGTGGCAGCTGCTCTCCTTGGGTTGAGCAACTGAGGGTGAGGAAGCAGGAGGTGGCTCCAGTGAGAGAGCACGGGGGATCCCCATTTCACCCCCTGCACCACTCCTGGGCTTCCTCCGGGGTCAGCATTGGCTTTATGGTACACCCACTCCCCAAAACTGCTCAGAGCTGCCACGGCCCCGGCTCCCGCCTGAGCATCCTCAAGAAGCTGTGGTTCAGCTGTATCTCAATGAGAACACTTCAGCACATCCCTGAAGCAGCATCCAGGTGGCTGAGGAGCAATTTTAACAAGAGCCAGGGCAGCCAGCAGGAGTAGGGAGAGGTTCTTGACTGCAATATCCCCCATGTTGGAAGAAGAGGGAGAGTGACGCTTTCAAAAGGTGTATAAAATACATAACCCCACCAGTGTGAGTGAGACACAGCCAAGGCGAAGGATTGCTTTGCAGACACAGGTTGCTTAAGAAAAGAGCGCTCCCCAAGGAGGAGGAGGAGAAGAGGAGCCTCAGGGGAGGGGAGAAAGAGCAAAAAGCAAAGGGAGGAGGCAAAGGGGAAAAAGAGAAAAGCAGGAGGGACCAGACCGAGCAGGTGCGCGTGAAATACCTAGTGTCATTTCCCAGCGAAATGCTATAAGTGGAAGGTGACCCAAGGACAAACACACACATGTACACACACAGAAAAACGACAGGTCAGAAGAGCCCCTCTTGAAGGGACTCACACATAATAGCACCACTGGCCAAGGAAGCTCCAGCCTCGCTGAACCCAAAATGGGAACCAAAAGGAGCTCAGTGAGGGCAGACAGAGGCTTACCAGCCTGGGTGAGAACCCTCTGCCTCCCACTTTCCTCATGGTCCAGCAGCTGGGAAGGAAGCACATGTGCTCCCCATGCCTTTAACTCTGCCCCTGTGCCATTCCAGGGCAAGGAGCTCCCACCCAGCGCAGTCTCCTGGGACAGTGCCAGCTGGAGGGATGAGATATCCCACTGCCACTCACACAGCAGGTGACTCCTAGGCCCATCCCTTGGTCCACAAGGAAAGCATCATTGTGCTGAGAGACCACAGGCAGTGCCAATGTGAGCCCACATCTCTCACAGTGGGAGGCTGGATCAATGCTGTATCCCATTTCCTGCATCCTGGGAGGGGACAGAATGCTGCTGCAGGGACAGCTCTGCCCTCGGACATCTGAGCATAACCAGCTTTGAGTTTGTCAGGAGGACAACCTTCAGACACAAAGTTACGTGCCAGGACTCAGGACGTTCCATCCCTTGTCTCCCAGGCACATGCCCCTCTTCTTCTGCCATGGGCCACAGTGGTGGGCCCCTTCCCTGAGGCCTCAACAATGCTCCCATCCGGAGGCTGGTGGCACATCCACAAATCTGGCATCTCTTGTGAATATGCCAGGCTCACCCAGTGGTCCCAGCTGAAGCCTGCAGTCCCCAAACAGCCACTGCCCCTTTACACGGGGGCACAACAGTCTGTGCCACGTATGCACCCGCTGTCACACCTGCATACGGACACACGCTGCCCTACACACACAGGACAACCGTGCACAGGGTGGGCGGCTGCTGCCACACCAACTGCAGCGCTGCCATTGTTACCAGGTGCCCAGGAAAGGGCAGGACAAGCCCCAAAAATTCCACTGTCCTCACCAGCCCTACTCCAAGCAGCACCTGGGTCTGAGCTGGGGCTGGGGCAGGAGACAATGGAGGGTCCGGCACACTCGGTGCCAGATGTCAGAAAAGATGGGAGAGCAGCAAAGTAGAAAAGCAAGAATAAAACCCAAATCAGGCAATGGAGACGCAGGCGTGCGAGGGGGAGCGGCAGCCAGCCAGAGCGTGGCCCAAACGAACAGCAAAAGGGGTCGAGTGAGCAAGAGGTGCCAGCGCAGGAGGGAGGAGGGATGGGGCATGTGAAGGGATGAGGGGCTGGATGTCCAAGTGCTGCCTCTGGCGGGAGTGAGCGTGCCGAGGCAAGGGGGTAGAAAGAAAGAAAGGAGAGAAGAAGGAGAGGTGGAAAAAAAACCAATGGAAACAAATAATACCTAGGCATATCCGAATCAAGAAACTGCCTGCGAAAACACAAAACAATCACATGGTTAGTGTGGGCTTAGATGGGCAGTAGCAGCTGAGGGAAGCGAGGGGGGACACCAGGTACTGCCCCCCGCGCCTCCACCCTGGGCGCTCGATGCAGGGATGGATGCGTGCTGAGGAGAGAGCTAAGCCACTCTCCCAGCCTCTGCCTGAGTGGCTCCAGGGCGCCGGGGAGGCTGCAGAGGGGAAGCCAGGGCTGCTCCAGGCAATGGAGGCTGCGTGGCACAAGGCAGCAAAGCGGGGAGCGCAAGCAGCTGGGAGGAGGGTGAAGTGGGCACTGGCTCTGCTCTCTGCCTTCCTTCTGCCTGTCCTCACAGCTGCAGGGTGAAGCATGCACGTCTGCATGTGGAGTGGAAGTGGGGGGCATTGCAGCTAGTGCTCTGCAGGCAGCTGGCCACCCCCTCCTCCCCCTGCCTCGTCATGGGCAAGCTCCACGGAATAGATATGGGACAGATATGACATGTGCACCAGTCTGTGCCCCCAAGTGGGGTCTCCACACTTTACTCCACACCCCAAGTATTCCCCCAGACTGAGCTGTGTCCCCTTGTCCTGCAGGACTCATGGGGCGGAAGGAAGAGCAGGAGGCACATCCCTCCTGCCAGGCTACCTTAGGCATGCTGAAGATCTCATATGGCTGCATCTGGGATGAGACAATCAAACAGATCAGGAGCTGACCAAAAACTGTGCAGCCCCAAGAGCCAGCGGGAGCCACAGCCACCCAGCTCCCAGCAAAAAAAACACCACTGCTCCAGTGGCTGGGTCCTCCTCATCTGATCATACCCATCTGGCTTCCTTCTGTATACCCAAGGCTGTGACAAAGTCTCCTGGTCCAGCACTTGCATGAGTGCTGAACCCAGGACTCACCTCTGCTGCCCAGATACTCTGTGCAGGTTGCTCTGCCGTGTCCAGGAGCTGCCCTGAGAGTGCTCAGGGTGCCAAATCCTATCCAGACTCCCATCATTCCCCCAAAAACAGTGGGGACAGGCCTCCTTGGCACAGTGGTGATCACAAAGCAGATGAAGGAAAAAGTGGTCCCCAGGGCCAGGATGTTCCTACACCAATGACCACAACGCACACAGCAGGACCAGTCCTGCTGCTCCCAGCGCTGGCAACAACCAGCCCCGTCTTGTCACAGCTGCCTGCATGCACACATTCTAGCCAGAGATCCCCACCGGTCCCCCAGGTTCCACCAGTAGCCCTGGTGCAGAGCACAGCTCTGCCCTCTGTACCCATGACTCCCCCTGCCACTGCAGCACTCACACCAGGGAGATCTTGGAGATAAAAATCTTCTGGTCCCAATTCTTTCACACCCTGCCAAACCTACAGTGGGGACAGCTTTAAGCAACCTGGTATGGTGGAAGCTGTCCCTGCCTGTAGAAGGGGGTTAGGAATGGAATTATCTTTAAAGTCCCTTTCAGCCCAAACCACTCTGTGGTTCTATGACAGCTCCCTGGGATAGGCAGGAAGGGATGGGCATCCCTGAAGACCCACAGTGGGTGGGAATGGCTTTCCTGCATTAGTTACACACAGATAGGGATCTGCCATGGGTGCCAAGTGCCCTTTCCAGCAACTTTGCTGGGACACAGGACAAACAGCCAAGCCTCCTCTAGCCATGGAGTTGGGACATCCTCCTGGCACCAGCACCAACTGCCTCCCTGCGCCAGCCCATCACAGCCAGCACCAGAAAGCAGGACCCACACACAAATTCCCTTTAGTGCCCTCCCCAACACAGCGAGGCCTTGGGGAGGAAGAAGAAGGGGGTTGGCAGCCCTGTACCCCAAGACCTCATGCAGCTTCAGAAAAAACCTGCCTGAAGGCAGCAGTGGGTCAGCAGAAGGGCCAAGAGCCTTCCAGGGGAGAGAGGGGCTGCTACTCAACCCCTCCATCCCTCACCACAGCAGGGGAAGAGCAAGAAAGAAAGCATCACGCACCGGTCATCCTGGGAGGGGTGGATGTACCCAGAAGAGAGGATGTTCAGGGACAGAATGTTGGGGTCAATGAGTGACTCATCTGCTTCTGGGGTGTTCCGGATTCGACCTGCAAACGCAGCACAGAGTTGCCTCTGAGGTGACAGGCAGTGGCCCTGTGAGGGTCCCTGTGAAGGCAGGGGCAGGCTGCCTGCACCCCACTGGCCATTCAGGCCACTGCTGGTCATTCAGCACCAGAGATCCAGCTCCTGGACATGGTGGCAGGGGCTGAGGTCCACTGCAGTGTCCCATTGTCACCTGCCAGGCAGCTGCTGCTTTACCATTGCAGGGCAGGAGGGGAGACAAGGCATAAAGCTCCATGTGGGAAGATGAGAATGTGGGCAAGAAACAGTGTGAGAGGATGCCTGGGAGCTCAGTGGGCTGGGGGCTGGCTTGGCTTACCCACAACCAGCTCCCGTACTTCCTTCCAGTGGATGAGGCTGCCCGTTTCATGCACCAAGGTGACACTGATTCTCCTCTGGATGCCCTGAGACCCACAAGGCCAGAGAGAAGGGACAGTAGTTAACGCAGGTCCCAGCAGGAGTCAGCAAGGACAGCATCTTGGGCAGAGAGTACCTGATGAAGGAGGAAGGTCCCATGGCATGGCATGCCTCCACGGTGGTCCACAACAGCAGGGATGTAGCTGGAAGAGAGGATTGCAGCATGACACAGAATCCTGCCAGCCTGCCCAGAGGTGCTGAGCACTGGGCAAATCCCTTGCTGCCTTCTCCCTCTCCCTCACTATCCACTTACTCGCCATTGGCCTCCAGCTCACAGATCTCAAAGAAGACCATCAGGTCGTACTTGCACTGGCAGGGGCCAGCACTGGGCCGAGTCATGGTGCTCAGCTTTGTGGCAGGCACTGCAGTGGGTCAGAAAAGACAGGTAAGAGGCTGAGCCTGCTGCTGGCACTTGGAGTGAGGCCTATGATGGCAGGGAACGGGCAGAGCAGTCAAGGATCTCAGGGCACGCACAGAGGCAGCAACAAGAGCCTCATCCCAGGGACCCTGCTGGTCACTGGCATGCCTCTCCCTTGCCCCAGCATGGGGTGTCATTGAGAGAGTGGCCTCACCCATGCCCAGGATGCACACAGTGTGCCTGCAGGCTTGGCAGGGGACATATCCCAAAACACACAGTGCTGTTACAGGCACTGCCCGGGAACAACCAGAGGGAGACCATTGTTTTTTAGCCAAACCTCCACAGCTGGGGTCTCAGCACAGCAGGGATCCTGCCACCCCTCTGGGACATTGGGGCTGGGTGGCCACCTGAGTCACCCAGAGCAAGGAATCTCTTCCCTGCTGCTCTGCAGGAGGTGAATGGGGGCTTTCCATCTGTTGAGTATTGTGGAAATGGGGAATTCCCCATTCTACCATGTGGAAATGGGTGTCTAGGGCTTTCGGGTGCTTCAGCCCATAGTACATTTTGTGGTGCCTCTGGGGTCCTAACTGGTCCCTCTGGGGAAGGGGACACCCACCCAACATGGGAACTATGGATGGCCACAAGAGTAGGAGGCTGGGTTCCCTACCTGGTTTGGAGAGTGGCATCACACGAGGGAAGTGGCGCCGGGATGGCCTCAGTGGGCTGCAGACAGAAGCAGCTTGGTTACAGCATCTCCAGGGACCCCCAAACCCAGCCAGCCCCACCTGTGCCTTGGGGCCACCCTGGGTCCCCAGGCAGCCCACTGCACCAGAAGCCCTTAGCACAGACAGAGGCTGGGGGTGGCCAAGGTGTGCCCACCTGAGGACATCCTTGCAGAGAGGTGGGAAGGGGTGCTGCTGGTAATGGCCAAACACCTCAAACACAATTGGCTGGCTCTTGATGTATTCGATGAAAGATTTTGTCACCTCCACAGCGATCTAGAAGAGAAAGAGCTGCTGAGCCACTGGCAGTGCAGTTTAGCTGGGAAAGGGGGTAGAGCCAGCAATAGCACCTGGGATGTGGAAGGGTCTGTCAGTCCCCTGCACCCCTCACCCTCTCCTCCCCCCATTCAGGGATTCTCTCCCCACCAAGATCACTGCAGTGAAATCTCAGCCTTTTCAGGTGGACGACAGTGGCTTTTGGTGTTTTTCCTGCATGTCCACCATGTCTAAGCCTGGTTTAGCTGGGTGTCTGTGAGGTGCTGGGAAAGTCAGGAGGAATCTGCTTCCCTGGGAGAGGACCCAGTCAATGGCCCTCCAGCAGCTGCAGGAGCAAAGGGGTGGTAGAAGAGGGGTACGCACATTTTGGACATGATAGAAGCCCAGGGGTGGCCCTCGTCCTGTGTTCTTCAAGGGTTCTGTTGAAAAGGCCTCATCATGGCGATGGATGAAGCTGTGGAGGGAAGGAAGGTTGTTCAGGGTGGGGTGGGGATATGCTGGAGCAGGGAGAGGAGTGAAAGCAAGGGACCACAATAGAGCCTATTCCCCCTGGTGCTGCTGTCTGCACCCTTGGCTGGCACAGGACTTCCTGAAGGTGGTGGGAGCCTCTCCTTGCCTTTTGCTAGTGACTAAACAAGTGCTTGGGCAGATTTCACAGCCCTTGGTATTGCCTCCCCATCCACAAAGGGCTCAGAGTGTGAAGGAAACTTCCCAAATTCACCATGAGCCCCCAGGTGAATGATGGCTGGAGTTTGGTGGAAGAAGCAGGGCTGGGGGGCACTAGGGGCTCACTTGAACTGGCAGAAGATGTCAGCATATTCTGCAGAGATGCTGGAGGCTTGCAGGACTGTCACACGGAAAGTGAAGATGCTGCCCAGCTTCAGGTGATCCAAAGCCACCTCCAGCGGCCCGTCCGGTGCAGGCTTCTCCGGGCTGTCCAGAAGAAGATCCTCTGGGGTTGCTGCAGGGAGGAGAAGGCCCTTAGCAAGGCAGGGTGTCTTCCCCTCAGTGTTAGGAACATTTAGGAACAATGCTGAGATGCTGGAGCATGTCCAGAGAAGGGCAACAAGGCTAGTGAAGGGTCTAGAACACAAGTCCTGTGAGGAGCAGCTGAGCGAGCTGGGGTTGTTTAGCCTGGAGAAAAGGAGGCTCAGGGGAGACCTCATCATGCTCTGCAACTACCTGAGAGGAGGTTGTAGCCTAAGGCTGTAGGTAAGGGCTGTTCTCTTCTTCCAGGCAACCAGTGACAGGACAAGAGGACACAGTCTTGAGCTACACCAGGGGAGGCTTAGGTTGCACATTAGGAATAAGTTCTTCACAAAAAGGGTGATTGAGCATTGGAAGGGGCCGCCCAGGGAGGTGGTGGAGTTACTGTCCCTGGAGGTGTTTAAGAAAAGCCTGGATGTGGCACTCAGTGCCATGGAAGTTGACAAGGTGGTGTCAGGTCATAGGTTGAACCCTAAGGCTTTTCCCAGCCTAGCTGACTCTGATTCTGTGATTCTGTCTGCCAGCAGCCCCCCACTGGGGCAGTGGGCTGTCAATGCCAGGAAGGGTGCAAGAGGCTGGGTGCAGGGGCCCACTCCCAAACTGCCTGTCACAGCACCTCACCTGCACAGGTGTTGTTGTTGACTTCATCGGCGGACGGACCCACGTCGCTGACCTGCCCCTGACCTTCGACTATGCGCAGCTCCTCCTGAGAGGTCCCCGAGCGAGACATCCCGACCGCTGGGCACGACTCTGACTGGAACTGTGCCAGGAGGGGAGCTCAGGGATGCTGGTGGTCCCCAGGGTGGTCCTGCTTCCAAGTATCCCAAGCATCCAAGCACCTCCAGCTCCCCTCTCCCACCCCATGGCAGCCCCCCGGGACATGGGCAAGGGCAGGATGCACTGGTGGGTGCCTGAGCCTTGGTCTGCCTGGTGGACCGAGAGCACATTCCTTTCCCTCCACCTCTAGGAGCCTGGGGGTCCCCATGGGGAAGCACCGAGGTGGCAGGCAGGGATCTGGGATCCATGGGCATCCACCAAGAGCCGGCCCCACCTTACCTTCTCAAAGTGCTGGTCATCAAAGGAGATCTTGGCTGTCCCTGATTGCCGCACACCAGAGCCATAGTCGGGGGCTTCTTCATCCGCTAGAGGAGGATGAGGGTGAGTCAGCACAGAGGGTGCAGAGGATGCAAGTGGCACATTTTGTGGGAGGGGTTCTCTCCTACCTGAGATGGCCTGGACAGCCACACGCAGGAAGCCCTTCACCTCGCCCTTCTCGCTGACGATGGCCACGCGGTGGACCAGGGGCACGGGGTAGAGGAGGTTGCTCAGGTAGACAAAGGCCCTGCCAGAGAAGGGGGGGACACACAACAGGGGGGAGAGCGGTCACTGCTCCCACCCGTGAGTCCCCAGGCACGGCTGGTGTGGCCGGCAGCGGCCGGGATCCCAGGTCACTGCTCAGGGCGCGACCGCAGCACTGCAAAGCAAAACTAAAGAGAAGGCAGCCAGGGCAAGGCGAAGGGGCTGGGGGCAGCAGGCAGGCAGCGTGCCGCGGGCAGGAGGGTGGGCAGGAGGGTGGCACACGCCATGGACAACACCACAGAACACACCAGACTTGCAGACCTCTCTGACTGTCACCTCCATGGCAGGCAGGAGGGGAGAGGGCTGCGCTGGTGCCACCATGAAGCCGTAGGGCAAGAGGACCTTCTGTGTGGTAGAGAGCTGGAGAACTTGGGCAGGAGGTGCTGCAACATGACTAGGGGGGCAGCTACAGAGTCACCATGGGGAGGACAGGGGCAAGACAGGGGGAGGGAAGGGTGACAAGAGAGATGGAGGCTGTCAGGAGTGAAGGAGGTCAGAGGACGAGGTCCTGGACCTCCAGAGGTGAACCTGCTGGGGGTTCATGGCCCTGGCTCTGCCTGCAGTGTTGGAGACCACTGAGAGGGAGGCTGCATGGTGTGGCTGGTGGCATCAGGTTGTGTATCGTCCCCCCCCCTCCCCATCCCTTCACACATATGGCTTTGGGGTCCTGGGCCACCAGCCAGCACGTCACAGGGATGGACTTGCCTGGCAAGTCTGAGCCTCCCTGCTCTCTGCAGCATCCAGGTGACCGACACTACCATGGTAAGGTGCCACCAGAGTCCAACACGATGGCTGCACCATGTCTCTGTCAGCACCTCCTGGCAGGCCACTGCTCTCTGCTTCTCAAGTGTTTTGGGTCCTCTTGCTGCCTCCCTCTACCTCACCGCCAGCTTCCAGTGGTCATCCAGCTCTGGCCGTGGTGACATGCTGTACCCTCCACAGTGAGAAGTCACCTTTGGCACTGAGCTCCCTGCCAAAAGGTGTGGGCAGCAGCACCACTTCCAGCAAGATGGGGCATGGGGTGCCTGGCACCTCTCCCTGTGGCACCCACCAGTGTCATGGTGGGGTGGCATGGTGCTGGGGGCTGGCAAGGACATCTCTACTTCAGGAGGTTCCCATGAGGGTTGCATCTCCAGGCAGCTGCTGTGCTGCTCAGGATGTCCCAGCTTCACAGGAATCTTCATATTCAATGCCAGCCCAAAGTGCCCAGGGGGCTCTTGCAGCCCTGTACTTGCACCCCAACTCCCAAGTCCGGAGATTCTCCCTGCTCTGGTGACTCTCATTGACCTTCAACTGCTCCTCGAGACTTTTTCCACCCAAAGCACCTGAAAGGACTCAAGTTGTTGAAGCAGGTGATGCCAAATCATTGTCTCCTGATGGGCCCATCTCAACCCATCTCTTCTCAGATGCCACAGGGAACAAGTGGTTGGGCCATGTGGGCTTCCCAGCAGGACCTCATGCCTGGGATAGAGCCCTGTGACCATGGATCATGATGCGCAGGGATCTGTGTGCACCCACCCACCTGAAATCACAGGGCAGCTGGAGTGGAAGCAGAGGACTGGAGAGGGCAGGGAAGAGAGGGAAGGAGGTGGGGCAGGCAGGGAGGAGGGGTACAAGTGTGTCACTAGAGGAAGGAGGGCAGGGACACTAACCACAAGATTGGTGAGGTGCAAAGATGGCATGCTCAGATCAAAGAAAAGCCTTTCCAAAGGAAGACAAAAGTGAAATAACCCCAATTTTTGCTAAAGCTTTGAAGAGATAGAGCCAGCAGCTAAAAAAAAACCCAAACCCTTAAAATAACCAAAATTTAAAAAAAAAAAATGAAGAGAGGGAGAGAAAGAGAGAGAGAGAAAAAGAGGGAAAGAGGGAAAGAGAGAGAGAAAGGGAAAGAAGAGAAAGAAGAGAAAGAAGGGAAGAAGGAGGGAAGGAAGGAGGGAAGGAAGGAGGGAAGGAAGGGGGGAAGGAA